AAAAAAAAAATTCCTGGGAGAGTGCCATCATTGTGCACATTTTAGAAGAATAGAAGCCTAGATAATATAAAGAATGATGCCCACATTGATCATCACAGCGATCTGGCAGGAAAGAAGCAAGCTGAGGAGACACAGCTTCATTGGACCACAGGGCGGAGAGCGAGCGATCCAGCCCAGAGCCTCTGTGTGGCCCTACCACTAACTTGAGACCGTTGGAAAATTCACTTCCTTACCTCTGTGCCTTGGTTTTTCTCTTTAAAATGAGGAAGTTGCACTAACTCTTGAGATCCAAAGTAAGTAACAAGTATTTTTGACCACCTCCCAGGTGCCAGGCTCTGTGCCACGCCCTGTGAATAGGCAGGAATGAGATGCCTTGGTCCTGCCGTCACAGACCACGGACTGCTGGGGCGGCAGCCAGTCAGAAGGGCAGTACAGGGAGGTGAGTGTTCGGAAAGGGGAAGAACAGACTGCGGCGGGAGGGTGTGGCGATAGGGTTCGCCCTAATTGACGGGGAGAGGGAAGCCTCCTTCCTCTCCACAGAGGGAACCCTTCCAGCTGTCTAGAGGTTAGTCAAAGGGAAGAGGGTAAGGAAGACACTCAAAGCTGAGGGAAGGAAATATTCGAAGACCCCAGGATGGGAAAGAGGGACTGAGAGAAATCTCAAATGGCTGAAATGTTAGAGAAACAGATCACGAAGGTCTCTGCTCTGTGATTCGCTGTTCCTGCCCCCTCCCTTCAAGCAATATGCAGAAATACCCTCGGTGTTCTCTCTTCACTTAAGTGGAGACTGAGAGGGGTGGGAGAGTCTTTAAGAGATTCTCTGCATTTTCTGAGACTTTCCTTTGGATTCTCCAATCCAAGGACAAGCAACACATCAGGGTGTCTCCTCCTGAAGCTTGCTGGCTGCCCAGGTAGAGGTGTGAGTCCTCCATCTCCTCTGGCTCCTAAAGCACCTTGAAAATGTCTGTTTCAACACTTGCTAGGTTATGTATTAAGGGTCAGTTTACTTGTCTGCCTTTTTTTTACCACCTGTGAGCTCTGTTGGGTGTACTCTGCTAAATTCTGGAGATGAGGAAATTAATAAAGGCATAGTCCCAACCTTAAGGAACTTATAGTTTAGAGAGGCAGGAAGAGAAGTAAGCAAGCAGGAACAAAACTACTCGAAGAGGGAAACTGGGATTCTTAAGGTGGGAGCAGGCCGGGCACAGTGGCTCACGCCTGTAATCCTAGCACTCTGGGAGGTCGAGGCGGCAGGATCACTTGAGGTCAGCTGTTCGAGACCAGCCTGAGCAAGAGCGAGACCCCATCTCTACTAAAAATGGAAAAATTAGCCAGGTGTGGTGGCATGTGCCTGTAGTCCCAGCTACTCAGGACGCCGAGGCAGGAGGATCGCTTGAGCCCAGGAGTTTGAGGTTGCTGTGAGCTAGACTGACACCACGGCACTCTAGCCAGGGCAACAGAGTAAGACTCTGTCTCAAAACAAAAAAAAAGGGTGGGAGCCCCTCAGAGGGACAGAGAACAGACAAGCGATAAAGTCCCAGTGAAATGGAGTGCCTGGTTGGTTGGCTCCTTCCCCAAAGATACCTCCGTATCCTTGCATTAAACCCTCCTCTTCCTTTTTGGCTTGTTAGTGCATGGAAGTTCCTGACTTGAATCAGTCCTGACTGATAAAGTTCTCCCAAAGAGATGATATCTATGCTGAATCCTGAAGAATGAGTAGAAGATACTTGGGTTGGGGGGCGGGGGTGGGGTTAGGCAGAGAAAGAAGCACGTCCAAAGGCCTGTTCTGGAAACTTCAAATAATTGAACATGGCAGGGGCTGGGTGGGTAGTGAGACAAAATGGTTACATTCTTGTGAGACCCAGAAACATTTACCTTTTACATAAGATAAGGCGAATGTTAGAAGAGGAAAAGGGAGTGGAGGAAGCATTAATTATGTAGATGTCCCTGGGTAGGTGGAAGAAGGTCTGATCCTGTCTTGTCTCTGTTCTTCACCTGTGAAGATAAACTTGTGGTTCATTATCAGTGTAGAATCGAACAGACTTTAGTTTTAGGAGCTAGATGTGGCCTGCAGACCTAAAGTGACAATTTGCATGTCCTTGCTTATGGGAGGCCAGCAAGGAATTTCCTTGATGGATGATCTGTGGGGCCAGTCCTTCGCAGGTACCCGAGGACTTTACCTTCTCTTCTGCATAAGGAGTTGGCGGGGGGTGGTCATTAGATTTTGATTTTCTTTTACAGAGGGCAGAGGTTAAGGGAAAATTAAAGGGGAAAGTTTGGGAGGAGAGGGGCACAGAAGGGGAGTCCTGAATTCTGCATACGAACTGCCTAATTGCTCAAGTAACATAATAGAATCCAGAATGTCTATAATGTATCTTTCACAATGTCAGGATATAACCCTAAATTTCTTGACATATGAAGAAACAGTATGAATCATACTTCATACTGGGATCCTCCAGAGAAATAGAGCCAATATGATATATATAGATAAATACAAAGAAATTTATTATAAGGGATTGGCCCAGGTGATTATGGAGTTGAGAAGTCCCTCAATCTGCCATCTACAAGCTGAAGGCCCAAGAAATTCAGTGGTGCTATTCCAGTTCAAGCCTGAGCCAGGAGTGCCCATGTCTAAAGGCTAGATGGATGTCATAGCTCAAGCAGAGAGAGTGGATTTGCTCTGCCCTTCCCTTTATTATTTACTCAGGCCTCCAGTGGAGTGGATGATGCCACCCACATTGATGAGGGCAATCTTTACCAGCTTTACCAATTCAAATGCTAATCTCTTCCAGAAACACCTCTCAGACACACCCAGAAATAATGTTTTAGCAGCTACATGGGCATCTCAGCCTAG